CCCTTCGTCGGGATGGATCTAGGGCAACTGATGACATACAACCTCACACGACCGTGGTGCTGCCTACTTCCTTCTTCGAGGGCCTACGGCGTCGAATTGCAGGTCGGTGCTTGGGCAACAAGCTTAGACTAAGAACCTCTGAAGCTTAGGGGGTTTAGGGCCTTGTCCAACAGCATGAGCATGACCATTTTGTTATCTGAAGGCCTTGTGCAAGGCAGCTCGAACGAGCACAGAGCACCCTCAAACTTTGGGGGCATGTGAGCTCTCAATCTGTTTTCTGAGGCCCCCACCCCCGCTCCACCGCGGGCCTGCCAATCGCATTCTCACAGCCTAAACCACAAGTTGCCTTCGAATCTGTGAGTAAGACATCACGGCGTTGCATCAACTACGATTCTTGCGCCAGTTCAGCAACCAAACCTGTGCGATCTACCCTCCTCCCGGGGCTGGGCGATGGCATTGGTTGAACCATCCGATTGCATACCAGCATCGCAACAATTGCGCTTCAATCGATGTTGGGCTAATGCTGCTGATTGATGCACCGGAGTCGAAGCATGACGAAGGAAACGTGGGAACAAATGATGCAGAAGAAGAAATTGGTTAGGATGAAGATGAAGTGTAACAGAGTAGCAGATGGTACTTGTACAACTAAGAGCACTATTAGCATTCTAGCACTGCCAATACTACGACGACGACGGAGCAGAAAGGGCAGCCGCAGTGGCAGCTCATGTAGCTGTTGGTGTTGCTGCTGTCGTTTCTGATAATCTGATACTGTTGCTTCCCAGTTTTCGAAGTCTGGCTTCTAAAGCCCAACTTTCGTCAGCTTTCCCTAAACTCCAACCACTAAACCCACGGTTTACGCTAACCCTAAAGCCCAAGACCTCATAAGGACCCCTCGAGGGCCCGGCTCCACAAACGGCGAAGACCCGCCAGAGCGCACCGGCTGCACCGGGCTGGGCTTTGCCTGAGCGCTGAACAGTCACGGCCGAAGTTGTGCGATTTTTGGGAATGGACTTAGGGATGAGGTTTAGGAAAGGGTTTTCGGGTTCAGGGTTTAGGGATTGTATTGGGTTTGAGTTGAAAAATTCAGGCTACGGAGTTCCAAAGCAGAAGGAGGACTCGAAAACAGACTGAAAGATCCCACATTGCAAAAAACTGCGGGTCGGGAAACGAAGGTGCATCACAGCCAAAAGAACCCGAGTTTGAGGTCTGGTCTGTCCTGTCTGGGTCAAAGTGGGCGCTACAAACTTTGCAGTGTACTCAATAACTTTGGGGGCTGTGAGAGCTAGCCGTTCTAGTCTGGGAACCCAAATTTCCGAGGCTCGCAGCCGAAAACCCCAAAGGCTGGCCCCATGCCGCTTTCGACAATAAGGCCCGCGGCTTAATATTGCCTCATCCTAAACCCAGGCACTCAAACACCCTGAACCTCGTACATATTGGGTTCCCCATTTCGAAAAACGGCAAGCCAAGGCATAGGACCAAGAAGAATACGAAAACAACAACAGTAAGAATAAGACTAATAAGAATAAAGATAATAACAATAATAATGACTGAGGCTTCGGCACGCCCGGTGCAGCTCATCTCTCGGGCACAGCAGCAGAACTGGCAGCGAGAGAGACCCTAACCACTAGCGGGCTTGATGCCTGGTGAGACTTCAAGATTCTACACTCGGAACCTGAGACTGCCTGAGACCCCATCAGGCATTGCATGTGTTGCATGAAAGAACATGCCCCATTCATCTTGCAATACTCCCCCACACACACAAGATACGCACATAAATCTACGTATGTACATATGTGTGTATAGTTATGTACACATGCTTGCATGTGAGCAAGCAACCAAACAAGCAAGTCAGTGCGTCTGCATGTATCCATGCATGCATGCATGCATGCATGCATGTGTGCAGGTATGCATGTAAGCACGTGTGCAAGTATGGGTATATTCATGCGCATGTGCATGTTGCAAGCATGCAGGTATGCTTTTAGAGGACATACATACATATGTACATACATACCTACAATTGTTTTGAGATATATATATATATATATTTATTTATTTATACGTGTGTGTGTGTGTGTGGTCCGTCAATGTGTGTGTTTGTACATATATACACATAGATACATATATGAGCTTACATATATTCACGTATGCAAGCATTGGCATGATTTCCAGTGACGTGACACCAAACAACTGCGGCGCAGCGCAGCGCTCACAGACCCCACCAGCAGCCTGCGCCAGGAACATGAAGGACTCCATGGATTCGCAATGACACAAACTGTAGGATCTCAGGCAACCCTGCAGACAAAGTACGAATGAGCTCGAGCCATCAGCGCAACGACCACGGGTGCGTCTCGATTCAGTCAATGTTTGGGCATCGGATGAAGATAACCTACTGCTTGACAAGTTGTCTCGAGGTGCTTGTTTTCTTGACATCGTTCTCATGCTCAGCCCAGCTGTACGAGTGGTGTCGTCATATCCGTGAAGGGTCTAAAAACCCGTGGGTATGGTTGTAGCTTCTGTCAGTACACAGTCTTAGGGGCTGAGTACCCTGGCCCAAGAAAGGTTAACCTTTTCAATTATGGTCGGGTTATATAAACCCCAAAAGGTTACAAGTTGCCCTAAACCCTAAACCCCTAAACCCCAAACCCTAAACCCCAAAAGGTTAAAGGTTACCTACTCAGCCACTAAGCAATTATGACTGGGGACCTCTGAGGCAGCTCCCGCTCAAACCTGAAGCCTTCTGTCTGCTACTCCTGAAATCCGAGAAATGCGCGTCTGCTATCTTTCCATGCGTAGCCATAGGTTTAAATAGTAGTGTTGTTATCAGAAATATGAACTGCAAAACCCGAAAATACGTGCATCTGGCGATGGTACGTTTTGCCTGAAACACTTCTTTGCAGAAAAACAGAAATGTCAGAATGATGCCTCAAAGCCGCGTTACACCCTCCATCCGACTGCAAGAAGTTCTGCAGCAATGCGACGTGTGATATCCTGCATTCACCATATGTCCAAATATCCAGCATAACCCACGTGGATGCTATTCTTACAGAAGCAGATTAACATGGTTTCTCGCAACGAAGAATGGCCCTGCAAACCCCACAACAAACAACAAAAAAAAACTACAACAAATCCTACAAACTCCTAAGAGTAGTAGCACTACCTGCAGCAAACCGGCCTGCCAAATGTTCAGCATACTAGACTAGAGAAGGTGCCTTTTGGATCTGCAGCTTGCGACGCTCCAAGGTGTAAGCCCAAACCGCGTTTGCGCGTTTGGGCAACAAAACGCACAGGCTCATCGACCCCAGTGTGCTTTGTTTACGCGCATCAAGCTCAGCCTCCCCCACCCCGGCCGACATCAATGATCTCGATGGATCCCCAGCTCACAATATACCACAACTGTCCCACAAAAAGTGTCGTTGTAACTGACATACAGCCTTCACTAGACCCAGAGATTTAGGGCTCGGGGTGCCCGCAGACGAGGCGTACCGGCCCTAAAGCAACCGAGAACGACGAGCAACTGCACCGAGAGTTTGTGGCAGCCAGTTCTCTTCGCAACACCACCCCCGGAAGCCCAGTATACTACAACTCTTGCAACTATAGCAACTATAGCAACCACTATAGCATAAAGCAACTAAAAGCAACTAAAGCAACTATAGCAACTATAGCAACTGTAGCAACTGTAGGAACTATAGCAACTACAGCAACTATAACCTGAGCATTTCTCGTCTTGACAGCCCTCGGTCGGCCCCGTGGCCTGGGGGAGATTGGGTATCAAACACTTGAAGCTCCGCCAACTTCTCAGATGCATGACCCCAGTACTGTATTTTGTTATACTGTGAAGGGCAAAGGTTGCATTATGCCGTGATACTGAAGAATCTGATATGGTTGGAGAGCCTTTCGCTCCGCAGAAGGCTTTGAATCCTCCAGCTGTGCGAATTAAACCGTTAAAGACACGTAAATGCTAAACTTGCCTCCTAGCCCCACAAAAGGGCTTTGGGCACTCACCTGAGGGGGGGGGGGGGGGCGCTTCGGCGCTTCAGCTTAATCAAATGTCCTGGTAAACTCTACAACCTGCCAATTCCTAAAATCCCCACAATGTGCCAATCTGTATACATATATGTATATATATATATACATACATACACAAATACAACATACATGTGTTTCGGGACAACAAGCCCATATGTGTGCAATTTTGAGGTCCAGAACGTTAAGACCCAAACCCCTCAAGCCTCAAAAGCTGAAAGTTCCAGCATCCTACAGCTATGGGTGATACCTCACTCTTCTGAGAGTTTTTCGCTGAAAATGGCTCTGAGGATTAGGCTGGCCGGTAAGCCCCAAGTTTCCTATGAAGAAACACTGTCGTGTGCAATTTGTATACGATGGCATGCTATAGTATCATATAAAAACATATACCGTGGTATACTATCAGTATGTAGCGACCCCACTAGACCGTGATACGCTGTGGCTGAATGTCTAGTCAAAAATTCCTGCGGAAAGCGTGGGAGTCAATGCTTGAAAACTTGCAGATATGTATCTAACTCTTTTGGTTCTCGAGTGTGAATACGCAATATTGAGGTGGCGGGCGTTATAGATGTTAGGGGGATGGGAGTACATGCATTGCTTTGGTGGTGCTAGGCTCAGAGGACTCAGAACGAGGTAATGAGTATTCGAAACACGCAGTAGGTTCATTAGTCTGACGGTCTGACAATACAACGACCCGACAAACGCGCCCTACTTGGCACAAATCGCTCTACTTGACTTGGATTATGCCCTGAACTCAGCAAACCTTCCGCCCGGCCCTCAGCGGCACATACTCTTGTATGGCAACCGGCAGAAAAATTGAAGGGCTGTGCTCCAACAGCCACGATCTCTGCCAGGGCTCATGGTGCCGCAGCATTTCACAAACGCATCATTGCTACGGAAATACTGTGACAGCCAGTTCAAGCAGCTCAGCCAGGAAGAGAGGCGCGGCTCCCAGCGCACTTGTCCGGTTCTTCGATTTAAGGGCGCAAGTACGTCCTAAGGTCGCCGGACTTGGAGTCCCTTAAGGCATGATCCGCAGAGCGAGGCCAGTACACAAGCATGCACTGGAACCCTGATACGAGCAAAGACCTTCCGACATGGAGGCACAAGTGCATCCAAGGATCCCCCAAAACCTGTACATGGTATTCTCCAATGGCGCCCAGATCGCCTTCAGGTCGCCCGTGTTTTTCGGGGGAGTGGGCGTCAGCGTGAAAGGTGTCCAAGTCGCTGTCGAGCCTGATTGCAACCCCGTCACTTCTTGCACACTACAACGCAAAATCTGCGGAAGCACATTTGAAAAACGTGTCAAGATAGAGGCGAGAAAGGAAATGAAAACAACATCACAGCACTGGTCCTTTCCACGCAAGAGGTTTACCAACTCATGGCATGAAATGCAAAAGTTTCGAAAGCTGCAGATCATGGAGGGGCCATCAGAAATATGTGTCAATAAATGTCAATAAACGCATAGGCCGAGGGGCAGCCAAAGGTCTTGCTCTACCGTTCCAAGCAAACTGAGGCCCGTACATGCACCCCCAAGGTTTCAATCCGACAAAAACAGCGTACCATACGAGCCTTTCGGATGCTCCACGCTGACAAGAGCACGCGAGACCATGTGATATGCAAGATTTTCGTACATTGCGTGTGTGCAAGTGATGCATTTCCACATAATCCACGCGGTTTGCATGCGAGGTTGCCGGACCTTCTACGTATAAAAAACGAAGCGTTGGGTTTGTCGTCTTATTTCATGACATTTCAAGCAGCAACACACTGGTCTCTAGTTATAAGCATGCAATTATGAAAAAAAATGAGGCTTATCAGGCAAGCATTTGCTTTTGCATTTCTGGGAATGAAAGCACGCACGCATAACCTTCTTGAGGTCTGTCTTGCTTACCCATGTAAATGACATGCACTTGCCCCGCCCGCCCCTCCCTCCCCACAGACCTCTCCGGGATTGCTTCAAAAATACCTCCCGGGAAGGGAGTTCCCACTTTGAGAGCCGTTTGCGGACGACAAAAATGCCGACTCGAATTTTCTCCAGATTCAGGAAATTCCAACATGGCATCCATCTGCGAATCGTTTCGTGCTGATTGAAGTCGTTCCGCTCTGAAGGAGTTCCCGCACTGTAGGCCAACCTAGTCAAGGTAGAAAATCAACACCACAGACATGAAGGAGAAAGCCTTGGAAAGGAGGGAGGTGGCAGGGTGGGGCCGCGTTTGACCACATCCAAATGTGTACACATCTTTTACGCAGGTGCATGTATGTAGATATGAGCTGCACTGATTCTTCGAGAAGTAAGGCGCCCACCTGTTAATGAATGCACGTACCAAGTCCGTCCGTCACCACCCAATCCGCCTGCTCCGTCAGTGCCAACTCCGCCTTGGACCTGGCTTTGCGGAAGCTTATACGACAGCAAGAGCACACTTGCAATGTACTATCGTACGCCTCAGAAAACCATAATATACCATAGCATAAGCAATGAGAGCATGATCAAAACCAGTGGTACACTTGCTAACGCAACAGCGGTTTCTTTCCTAATCACTTTGGCACAAGAGACGATCATCTCTGTGCCCGTCCAGACGGCTTCGTGGCCGAGTCGTAAAGTCGGCACGTTGCTGGTGGCGGGCGTGAGAGTAGCCCACCTCATCGAGGTCAGGGGCTTAGCGTATGGGAGGTGTTGATGGTGCAATGGTAACCTTACTGCTAGAGGAGCCCGGAAAAGGGCGAAGCATCTTTAGGATCTGCTGCTACAGATTTGAGGTGTGATTACTACGGATGCATGCTACCATGGAAGGCTACGTGGCTCAGGCTCAGACTTTAGAAACCAGCTAGGAAAGTGGATCCTTGCTGCGCCCGTGCTCCCAAACCTGTGGATGATAATTACATACCACGTAGCATGTTATATATCGTACGGCGTACCACAATAGTAGAACCAGAATACATATACACACGTCAAACTACATATGTTTACCTGCTATACCAGCGTAAGCGCCCAGAAGTCCTAAAACGACCACAGTTGCAAAATTGGCGAACACCGACGTCCGCAGGGGACAGCTTCGCTCTTGGCAAACACGGACGTTCAAAAGCAACAACAGTTTCGCAATTGAAAGAAAACGATGACAATTTACCATCTGAAGCCTTTGGCAGCAATAACCACACTCATGATAATTCAAAGGAGCGCCGACCCCGTCTCCCAAGAGATGGCAAAGGAACAACCATCGGATCATCAGCTGTGCAACGGCATGCAACATGTACCACAAATCTCGTCGTTTGGCAGCCATTTATCGACACGAAAACACTCGCAATATCTCCATGCATGAAAGACATGCTGTAGGATTCCTCGCCGATCCGTGAATGGCGGCATGGAAGGTGCACCATCGCAACCGCGAGAAGCAACCGTGTTTCTCAGGAGCCGGCTCAACCAAATGCAAATATCACACTGACATTCTGACATGGCTGACATGGTTCTGTACGCAAGCATGGGTCCTTGTCTACTGCTCACTCTCCCTGCACCCACAGCTGTGCGCCCGACTTTGGGTTTCAGTGCCGGCCGAAAACAACAGGGATCTACGGAATGATCACTTGCATGGCAATTCATCTCTGTAGTGCTCGCACACTATTGGAACTAGTGATCTGGTCATCCGGAATGAAAACGTTTCTGCACATCAGGCACCACTGATGTCATTGCTTTTGAAAATTTGGTGAGGGTAGGCAAGTCATGCTGCCCTCAAGCTGTGTCAAAAGAATGGTCGCAGTCGTCAATCCTCATTTAAAAATTACCTGCGAAAAATAGATTGATGCAATAAGATGTATAGCCAGCATCCGCACCGATAGCAAGAGTGCTGCATCATGCACTCCGGAGCTGTCCTTCTGTGAAAACTTGCCTGAAGGAACAATATTTGCGCAATAAGACTTCTGGGGAAGGCATCTGTGTATCTCAAATAAGCCAGACGCCGATACCAAAATGCTGCCTCGCGCCCTGCGCATCTGGCACGTGAGTGTCCCAGCAACTGTCCCTCAATACTAAAACTCCAGAATTTTGCGGCTTGCACTTCCCGGGGGGCTGGCACATCTTGAAACATACCAACAAAAGAACTTCACCTCCCCCACCCCCTCTTTCTTCATAAGGTGCATAGTCTGGAAAGGATCCGGAAAGTCATCGTCCGTATCAGTCTTTAACCGACCCGAATATCAAAGGCTGAAGGTTCTCAGAACACTTTTGCGCGAAATCTATCTTCAACTTCCGTCTTGACTGTCTAAATATTCAAAATGCTCAACCGAAGACTGATGCTTTGACGATACTCCAAGTCCCGACGAGCATCGGTCACAAATGCAACTGGTGAGCAGACTAGCAAAAAAAAAACAAAAAACACGTGGCAAACAAGATGCCAAAATCTTTTGTCGCCACGAAAAGCACTCCTGCACTCTCTTTCTCTCTCTATCTCTGCAAGCAGCCCCTGGTAGCGTAAAGTTTTCCGACTTGCAAGCCTACGCAAAAGCACCAGGAGCGCCCGAGGTCTACTGCATACCAGAAGCTGCTGCTATACCCTAGGCACTAGAATGTAGAAGGGAGTCTTGCATCCATACCACAATCTTACTTTAGTAGGCAAGAAACCATACTAAAGACTACGGTTGAGCTTTTGCGCCACAGAGTCGGAGCTGAGGACACCACGTGTCTCCCACGGGGTCGTAGAAAAGCAAAATGTCCAAGTAAACGTTGCCATCACCACCGCCGTGCGCCTTTGTAGAAAAGGGCTGTTGGCTTTTTTTGCTCTCTGAACACTGCTGTGCCTCATGGACAAAAACAAGGTCGGACTGAGCTATTTATTTAAGAACACAAGGAGCACCGCCTCGCATATGTGCCAGCCACCGAAAATGGGGAGTCTGGAAGAGCATTGCACCCAGTCATCTCTCATGTACGGAACGGTACTTTTGGCAGGGTATTCCCAGTTGCAGAGCCGGGCAGTACTGGGACCAACCGTTTTGGGAAATCCAGCAGGTGGTACGGCGTGCAGTAAAGACTGTTTCGCTGGGCAACAATCAAGTGGCCAGATTTGCATGTACCCCTGCACGGCCCCGGAGGTATGCCAAGAGGCGAACCCTAGTGGACTTTAGATGGTTGTATGCCATGGGGTTTATGCCCACGCCTTGGCGCAGACGCTCGTAACTTGCTGCTGATCGTGCGTGACCAGAGCATGTCTGAGCCCGCGACGAGCATGCCTGTACCAGTCCACACTGCTGAATGACGTGCTTGTATCTGTGGACTCGAGGTTCCTTGCATCCATGTCAAGCCAGCCACGTCCAGCAAGAAGACATCGGCAGAAATTCCAGAAGGTCCACGTCCACCGTATATTATCCTTGGCTGGACGCCTGTTGAGAGATTGCCTAATAAACTGAACCGACGGCCAACCGAGCATCATCGTCTCGACGCCAGACACCATGCCAGTCACTGCAGTGTGCGCGGTGGTCTGTGGAGCAACACCCGTTGTGGGGAGCGCTACCGAAGACAGCAAGCCTCCGACTCCGGTTTCCTCAGCATAGTACGATGTGTACTGCATATAACTGGGAGATTCATGCATGCTTCATGGCACTTGCCCCAAACGCTTCTAAGTTCGAAAGGGCCGTTCAGGACATGACCGAAAGTGGTTGCTGCCAAGTAGCTGCGACTAGGAAGGCGAAAGGCAGCCGGAAGGTTCCGGCATTGTCGGAATATCCTGCTACATCCGTGTTTTGCTCCCCATTCCTCCACTATTCGTTTAAGCACTCCTCGGTTTTTTGGACGGTGTAGAGCAAGAAATGGCAGACCAAACAAGGATAGACTGGGGACCCTGGGTAGTCTACCAGACAATGGTGTTACAGAAATGTCAGGTTTGGATTGCCACTACTGATATAACTGGTGTGACCACTTGCTTATTTGCCCTTTGGCCTTCCATTGTTATGCTCATCATTGTTACCCGTGTGTTTCCTCTTGTTCAAACTACTATTAGCAGTATTACCAAGTATGACGAAAAACTCCAAATCAATAAGAAAAAAAGAATATTGCAAGGCAGGCACTTTCTGCAGGTCCTCATTGCTGTTCAACGTTTCTGTATTTGCTGTTCCTATACACTATACTAAGAGTAGACTATAGAATACTAAAGAATATGCCACAAAGAATACAGGCCCAGGAACGACAGCTCAATGGGTGGAAGCAGCACTCTGGCAGGCAAAAAGAACCCTAATGTTTCCGTCCTCCGTACAAGATGAAAGCGCCAAGCGAATCCGACCAGACCTGCGTGTGGTCCTTGACCTGTCCTGCAAGGCTGCAAGGCTGGACCGGACTTGGGAGTATTCTAAAAAACTATAGCTTCCTGTCAGGGAACCTTGGGGAACCCTGAAGCCCAAAAAGGAAAGGCAGAAGATGGAATGGAACGAAGAGGCCGGAAAGGATTCACTACAAGAGATGTTGCTCCTTGGCGTAGGCAGCTGTTAGTTACTGTGCTTGTAGTTGCAAAGGGTAGCGGTAGCCGCCGTCGTAGCAGCAGTAATAATAATAAAGAGTGGTCGTATGGTTCTGTTAACAACAGAAGAAGTAGCTGTGCTGGTGGTTGTCGTCGTACCTGTGGTAGTAGCCGCAGCCGTGACGGTAGTAGCAGGGATAGAAGCAGGAGTAATGATAAAAAGGGCAAGAACAGTGCTACGAGTACTGGCTATGCAAGTTTAAATACCATTGCACATGTCTAGGTGTTCCTGAACAAGAAATCCTCCAGATATGCATACCTCTGACAATTACATTACGGTCCGAGGCTTCGGATTGGTGTAGGGCGTGTAGGGTTGAGACCCCTGAGTAAGGCTCCTCACAACAACAAGGACTCCAAATATCTATAATATATATATATATATACATATCTCTTCTTCTTCTTCTACAGGGCTTGAGGGACCCGGGGGCCCCCCGCGCGCACAGGCGCGCCCAGAACCTCAGTCCGTCCTTTACGTGAGACAAAGGCTAGCGTTCACCGCCTCGACATCCCCCACATATCTCTCTCTCTCTCTCTCTCTCTTTCTTCTTTCTTCTGAGGAACGCACTGGGAATCTCAAGATCCCATGTCACATTGAAGTTTCCATGGTGTACGTTACTTTACTGACATATACCATGCTACACCGCAGCAGCCCCTGTCCCCCCGATCCACGCGCTCTCCTTTCGGGAGTTGAGGTTGAGGTTGCCCCTGTACCCTCTACTACTCAAGCCCTCTAAACACACACCCAAGACCCATAACCCTCTAAAATTGGCACGTCCCCCATTGCTTGGCAAGGCACCAAGCGGCTGAAGTGGATCGAAGAAACGTTGCTGCCATGTGCCGGTATTGTGCTCATAGACCAAGCAATCGTCGGCAGGGTTTGTTGGAAGGTCATCCTGACCTCAGGCGGTGGCATGGAGGAATCCTACTCTGCAACATGCGATAATTTGGGCATGTCGTGAAACGACATCTGTGTACCGCCATATGCTAGAACCTGTGGTCGTACACTTACTCCAGTATTCTCAGCATCTTCCCGTCAGGTGCTACAGAAATGGCTGGAACTTGTTCGGATGTACAAGAAACGTATCGTTTACCTGAATCATAGATACACTTGACGAACCACAGCTTTCACTCCGTCCTTTCTGAACCTTGTCTTGCACCACCAGACACTTTAACGCATTGGCTGGCTATTGTGTTAGATGACATGCAAGTCACCATGGCCCACAGCTCCATGGCAGCCCAAGTGATTCACTATCTTCCGGCTCCTTTAGACAGTACCCTTCCTAGCGCGAATTCTCTCAAGGAATGATTGTGGAGCTACAAGCCTCTGCCCCCTCAGCAGGAAATGCAGTATGCGGTATACTAGACTCAACTCTAGTGGACTTTTACACTAGGATTAAGCCTCCAGAAACCTGCAAAGCCTCCATGAATGCCCACGGCTGCTGGCATCTGCGGAAACTCTTTCGGAACCGGAATACCGTACCGCCCCGATAAACAAAAATGCAAAACACTGTTGGACGAGGTTTCATGCCACTTGGACCCAAAAATTCCTGGGAGGATATCCACACAAAACGGTCCTGATTCTGGGGGTCCGGGTTCGCACCCGTATACGGGGCCTCGTAAGTTTCCTCAAATACTCTCTAATGAGACTCTCGGCCATGAACCTCAACAAAAATGCCTTAATCTAGAAAGGAAGCTGTGAAGTGGCGGCCAAGTTCGTGCGCTCCTTCAGTCCCTTGCCCGCGGTGGCCCATGCGTAAGAAAAGTTCCCTTCCTGGCAACCCTATGTCGAAGCAACTCTACACACTACGTCGTCAACACCCTCAGCATTTGAAACCTGCAAACTGTCACTGGCAGAGCTCGGCCGCCACATAGCCAGGAGCTGCCGCTGGCATCGGGAAGGGTAGGACCTGGGGTTCAAGTACATTGCATGTGAAGGCACATGCTGTAACCTTACATAGTTTATCGTATTGGGGTATACTATGTCAAGCAAAATACTACGTTCCAACAAGGGACAGCACAACATTAACTCTTTAACTTAAGCTATACTAGGAGCTGAATCACAATCATGTCTGGGCTTCATGTAGGGTGTAGTTTCTGAGGGTTCATGGGTTGCCATAAGTGTAACTGTCAGTCGCTACCCCTCAAGCAAAGGAGCTAACCCCGAATTACATGAGTCATGCCCAAGTGCGTGTGCCCATGTCGTTCTTATGTACGTAGCACAACCGGAATTGTTCCGTTCCGATTCATTGTCGGAGTACCAAAGCTGCTAGGTTGCCGATGTGCGCTGCGTTGTGGACCCAATCCGCAATGACTTTTTACGAGTCTCAGCTGGCGTCTGGTGCGCCCGCTGCACTGCTGTTGAGGGGACTGATGTTTGGGGCAGCCCATTTGCCAATTTGCTATGAGAAGACGCCGTAAATCCTAAGGCAAAACAAACCGGAAGACGTGCTCAGAAATTGGGCGCCTGGTGCGGCACCGGTTGGAAAAATGAGATGGGCCTCCTTCGGAAATATTCTTCAGGGGATCAGGTTTTGACAGCGTAGCCCAACTTTGCTGAACGGTCGAACATCATCGCACATCACTTCGTTCATCCATCCTTTACTTCGACCTGATCGCCCTCTCTAGCCTCCAACCCACCACATCCTTTTGCAGAGCATGTGCATGTGCACCGTGTGTGCAGGTGTGTGCAAGCGCAAGTGCATAGGAGCGCATAGGTGTTTGCACATCTTTGCATTGGTGCGGGCATGCAGAGCACAGAGGTGTTTGCATATATGACTGTAACCAGTTTGCATATGCGCAAAGGGGCCGCAGGCCTATCGTCAGACCCAACGAAGACCTCTGAAGATGGGTGCGAAAACATATCTGCAGCCAACTCAATGTCAAATAATCGGGCGTTTCCAGGCCCAACGTCAGGATTTCCCAGCAGCCGACCGGCGGACAGGCGAACGGAGGTCATCTACAACATTACACCCCGCACAATGGCGTGGGAAACAATAGCACTAAGAACGCGCGCGCACACATGCTGTGCGAGAACAGGCAACCGTTCATGGTGCCATGATCCTTTGCCGTCCCTCGAGGTGCTGGCGGTCAGAGCAGCAACCAAGCTCGGTCTTTCTTAGAACCACTACTTTATGTTCTCGTACGTCTCATCACCCACGTTTTAATATGGTGTTAGGGCAACGGGCTCCGGTTTCAGTAAACCCGAAACCCTAAACCCGAGTTGAAGGGAAACCGTAAACCTGCAACGGCCGCTCGCATGCCCTGGCACCATGGCTGCATCACCATCACCGTATGGGCATGCATGCTCTGGCCATGCGCACGCGCTGGTAACACGAACGTAATCATCGTGCGGGCATGGATACTCTGGCCATTCGCACGCACTGGTAGCACCCTTCACACGCACTGGTAACACGAACGTTATCATGGTGCTACGGTTCCATGGCTTGAAGAACACGAGAAAAAGAGATATTACCTGTGGGGGGCACTAGAAGTGACAAGTGGAAAGTTGACCGATGACTTCGTGCCTGCTACATAGAGAAGAACAGTGTTTAGTTCGAAAAAACGACTCCAGAGCAGCCACTGAACCTTAAAACGCAAGCATCTTTAGCAAGATGTTCGAAAACGTACTAAGAAACATATTCGTACTAGTTGTAAGAACAGTAACAAGAATAATAGTATAATTCCCAGATGTGAACTCCAAAGTGTAGCATACTGTATGCTACCATAGCAGCATACTACAGATTATGGTTTGCCGTGTTTTTCCGTCATGAGCTGTGGCACGCCGCAGTTTCATCCAATCCCAAAGAGGCCTGGTGCAGCGTTTAGGGTTTGGAGGCTGGGAGACGAAGCTCAGTGGCTGAAAGCCAATCCATAGCCGTATCTCTTCGCCAACGGGGTGAAAGTGTTTGGAAAAGGTCCGCTCCAAACCTGGCAGCTTCTCA